CAGATCCTGAGCCACAGAGCCACTGCTCCGCCCCTTATAATTTTATCATTAGAATTTTACAATCCACTTTCCTGCGAAACAAGTGTTTCCTCGACTGCCTTTGACACAACCTTCCTCCTATTCTCAGTCCATGACTGCACCACCGCGCTAAGCTTTTATACATCAATCAGCAGTGCGTCCTCCTTCACCTGCGATGTCTGTGATATCGTTGTTCTTACAATAGCTGTCCTTTTCTTGCCTGCACTCTGTTCAGGTTCTCATACTGTCCTGTACTTCGACCTCGTCGTCGTCCCTCTTTCTTCGAGGGTCCCTTCACTCGTCCATTTCTGTTTCTTCGAGTTATATTGGACGGAATAACCTCCTGGGTTTTTTCCCCCACCCAGTGCATCTCTGACTATCTGACAATCTCCCGCGTCCTTGAGAACGGTTTTGCCTGAACAGACTGGATGAGAACCCATGACAATAATCATAATAATCAGAACCCAAGGTGAACGCGAAGCTGGATTGATCTTCCTCGCCCCCTGTCAGTGCAGGAACGGCCCCTGGGATCGTTCGTCTGCTAGAGGCAGTTTATTGTCACGCCTAGGATGCAGGCTACTAATAGGATGTGGCGTACGCCCCTGCAGCATGCAGCTCCAGAACATCAGCCTTGCGGTGTCAGACCGGTGCTCAGTGTCAGGCCGGTGCTGACAGAGAGGTCTCTGATGCATGATGCAATCAGGGCTTCGGCAGGGAACACAAGATACCGTGGGGGTTCGACGGGGATTTGGGTGGGTGAGGGAAGAAGGGCTGGAAGTATCACTAAGGTCAACAACCATCCCGGTTTCTCATCTGTCTCCCCCCTTCCCTCTGGTAAGCGTTATAGGAGCATAAAGGCTCATACGTCCAGATCCAGACGTCCAGTTTCTTCCCACAAGCTGTCAGGTTACTGAACTCTGCCCCTGCCGCTGGCTCACACTGATGGCCTTTTTTTGTCTTTTTCTAAGAAGTATATTATTTCACTTGCTGTTGCTGCTGCTGCTCTGCCTCTATGTTTTCGCCGTTTCCTTAATGTCTTTGTACTCTTTGTACTGGAGCACGCACGCAAATACGCGTTTCACTGCCCTTGTGCGTGCAGCGTGACAATAAACTGAACTGAACTGAGATCCACACCCCCGGCTTTCGATTTGACCCTGGTCTCGAGGACGGGCGCGCGCCTGAGCTCAACGCGGACCCAGCCAGCTGGGAAGGCAGGACTGACCTTTGGGCTGCTCCCCCGTGCTGGACGAGGACACGGTGCGGCTGCGGTCCAGAGGGGGGCTGCCGTGCAGCAGGGAGGCTGCGGGGGACCCCTGGGTGGGGTCCAGGGGAAGCTCGGGGAAGCGGGGAGTGGTGCCGCGGTGGCGCCCCCCGTTGGCCACGACGGGGACTTCGCCGTTGAAGAGTTCGTAGGAGCTGCTGTAGGAGCCGCCGCCGTCTGTGCTGCTGAGCTCGGGCTCCGCTGTGGGACACAGCGGCCCCCTCCCGCCCTCCTCCCCCACGCACAGGGGGCTGCCCCCCAGCAGCACGTGGCCATTCGTTTTGGGGGTGTCTGCGTGTCCAGGTACCAGATTGTCCCCACACCCTCCCTCGCCCTCCTCCTCCTCCTCCTCCTCGTCCTCCTCGTCCTCGTCGTCATCTTCCTCCTCCTCCTCCTCTTCCTCTTCTCTCTCATTCCTGGTTTCTGCCTCCGCCTCCTTCTCCGTTCCCGTTTCTCTTCCTCCGGACGTGGGCTCTAGGTCTTTCTCTGTCTCCCTTTCGGGGTCTGGTCCTTCCTCCTCCTCCTCCTCCTCCTCTTCCTCCTCCGCCTCCTGCGCCTCTCCTCTCCCCACCTCCCTCTCCATCGCCGGCCCTTCTTCCTGCTCCCTCTCTGTGCTGGGGGCCGCCTCCTGCCACTGCTGCTGCAGCTGCTCCAGGCCCGCATCTGCAGAGGCAGAGAGAAAGCCAGAGAAGCAGGTTCAGTGTTTGCAGTAACACTGTACAGAAAAGATTGACATTTCTTTGCCATGCACTACTGCACTGTCATCTCATTAACTGCAGTGCCCTGGAGTGTGATGTCAGAAATGGTCATGCAAACTTACTTGAGCACGGATGGTGTGCTATTTGAGAGTGTCTTGTGCGCTCGATTGTGCCCTATTGTTCTGTGCTGTGTACCGAAATGCATTATATCCTACTCTTGTGGAAAGTACCACATTGCGCTCGGGACAACTGCATTATAACGTAACTTCGTTCTACTTGTTTGATTCAACCAGACAAGTCAATTGAGAAGAACTTTTTCCACCAGGTCATTTACTGCAGCCATCGGGTACAGCGCCTGGCTCAAGGGGACAATGCCCCAGATCCCGTCTCCGGGGTCTCCAGGCCGGAGCTCAGTGCTTCCACTCTCTGACTGCACTGTACATCCTGTAGTGCTGACATAGCACTGCGTCAGCGGCAAAGGAGTGGGTTCGCTCCGTGCAGGAAGATAAGAAAAGAAACGCTAGTGGAGTCTTCTGAAGGAGCCGGGACTGAGCGTTTCTCTTCTGTGCCTCTCAGCACGGAACCAACCTTCACTCCTTCCTGCGCTGCGGCTGGTCCACTGCGCTACGCTACACAGCGTCCGCCCTGGGGACTGACCGGCGTGGTTGATGAGCCGGCACTCCCCCTCCTCTTCCTCCTCCCCCTCCTCGCTGTCCGCGCCGCACTCCTCCTCCTCCGGGGCCGGGGACGGCGAGGGCGGGAGGCCCCGGGGGCCCGGCGGGGCCTCCGAGTCGCCCCCCCCGCCCTGCCCGCCGGCCCGCTGCTCCTCGGCCTCGCGCTCCAGGGCCTCGATCTCCAGCATGCGGCGCTCCAGCAGCTCCGCCTGCCGTTTCTGCTTCTTCTTCAGCTTCTTCTTCTTGTTCTTGGAGATCTTGCCCACCTGGGGGGGG